ACGCTACGTGATGCTAGATTTCGAGGACGGACGGGATAGCACCCGGGATCGAAAGGAACCGAGAATCGAAAGTCGATTTCACAGATGCCGGCACGATCTTCGGTAAACATCCAACCATCGGACGCTCAACTTATTGGTAATCCGTGCAAGGGGGTGCACATTCGATTTTATTTCACGGTTTCCTTTATGCGAGAGACGTAGAATTTCTATTAGCTTTGTACCCCGGTTAGATTGAATAGCCGCAGGCTGCCAGGGCATACGTTCATGACTGTTTCATTTACAAATGTATTTCCCTCTCAGACGGAACTTTCAATTTAGTCGGATGCTTCCTACGATTGCACGAAACGCGTAACCGAGGCTGTTCCATATACACGATACGCCTGCTTAGAACTTTCCTTTCGGCAAACAAATCGAAAGGATGGACGAGTCGTCTCTTACGGTTCGGCCCAGTGAGATTAGCGAGCACGGATTCTCGGAGGAGAAATTTACCCAACGGCTCGCACATCGTTTGCGCTTACAAAGGCCGAACAACGAAAACGAACGCGTTAATGGAATATCGGCCGGTGGAGTAGCGGCCGGTAAGGACTGTCGTCTTTCGTTCTGCCTCTCTGATCCTCGCATCGTTCTACTCGTCCCGTACTACACGCGCGCAGTAACACCTTCCGTATATCCCCTCTTTCGTATTCCCTGTTCCACCCCTTGTTCCGCGTGTGTAAACGTTGAAACGCACACAGAGTGCATTCGCGTGCGTAAACACACGTACACATGTACGCGTATCAAGTCAATAATTAACACCAGTTACAACTTGTGGGAATAGTAACGGCGTTTATGCTCCCGGGGACGTCGTATTTCAGGAAAATGTGCTCGTACCGTCGCGCCGCGCTGGTCTGTAGGAGCACCGCGCGAGGATTTGTCGTCGGCGGGAAGCGAGTTCGAAACGTCGGAGGTCGAGCGAGAGGAAGACGCGAGATGCGAGATGCGGGAAGGGCGGCGGAGGGCGGCGAAGGGCGGCGGAGAGCGGTGGAGGGCGGCGAAGGTGAAGAGCAGAACGCGATAGAGGACGG